TAAAAAAAGAATATTGGAAAGAGTCATGATTGTCATATCCTCATGCAAAAGTTGTTACCGATAGCAATTTGTAATGTCCTTCCAAATCAGGCTGTTGCAACTCTAGTAGAGTTTTCCTCTTTTTTAGGCAGCTTTTTATGAAAAGCTCAACCATCTCTGACCTACAAAAGCTACAAAACCGAATTGTGGAAACCTTGAGTCATCTAGAGATAATGTTTCCCCTTTCATTTTTTACTGTAATGATTCATCTGACTGTGCATCTAGTTGATGAAGTAAAACAAAGTGGACCTGTACATTATCGCTGGATGTATTTTTTTCAAAGGTAAGAAATGTCATTTTAAAAATTATTGAACTAATCTGGAATATAATTTAAATATAAATAAGTCTTCTAACACTTCCTTATTTTGATCATAGATTGTTAGGTCATTTTGAGTGTCTCGTACAGAACAAATCTCAATCAGAAGACTCAATAGTTAAGGTGAATAAGTTTGAAGAATTTCTAACTCTTAACTCTCATTATTTTAACGAAGTTGAGTCAAGGTTGTATCGACCTAAACGTGTAAATGATGAATCAAATAATAATGAAGCTTTTGGAAAGACATCTATGTTTCCACAACAAGGTAAACCTTTTGGAGGCTACATAGTAGAACCATTGACTACTTTAGAGAAAACTCAAGCTCATCGATATGCGTTCCTTAATTGCACAGCAGTGAAGCCATTCATTGAGTATGAAATTTAAAGTGATTTTGATTTATAAGAAATGTGTAGAATAATCAGGGAAAAATTTAATATACATATATAACAATTTTGTAGTGAATTCAGACATCACATCAAAAGAAGTACAAGAGGTCGAAGAGTTTCAACAAGAGAGGTAGAGAAGAGAGTTAGTAAAGACTTTCCCGATTGGTTTCCTAAGCAAGTGAGTAAATAATTGTAGAATGTTTGTTTTGAACATATTTATTGTCAATGTAGTATCTTTGACAGATATATTATGTTTATTAAGATTATGAACCTAGATATCGCAGAAACCATGATGATATGAAGTTTTTAGCACAAGGTCCTGCACAAGATGCAAGAAGATTTTGTGCTTATAACATTAATGGATTCAAATTTATCACTTTATCTAAAGAACAAGGATCAAAAACTCAAGATAGTGGAGTTTTTCTCATCTCTGACACTTCGTGCATTGCGCCTAGTGTAGATAGGAGTGCAGAAAAAGAAGACCTTCCATATTAAGGAAAGTTAGAAGATATTATCGAGCTTAATTATTATGATCGGTTCAAATTTATTCTTTTCAAGTGTCTGTGGGCCGATACTACTCGAAATAGAGGGTACAAAACAGATGCTTGGAAGTTTAACTGTGTTAATTTTTCTAAATTTATTCACATTGGTGATCGTGAGGATCATGATCCATATATTGAAGCATCACAAGAAAATACGGTCTACTATGTTGATGATGAGACCGATAAAGAATGGAGTGTCACTGTACATCTTAGGCCAATAGATATGTTTGAAATGGGAGAGGTTGATCAAGAGGATCTGTATGAGAATGAGCCATACCAACAACAAGAATTTGGACAATTTTTTGATGATAACTATGAGAATATCCAAATTGCAATAGAGGAGAATATGAACGAATGAAATAGCAAAGATTTGGAAAATATTTTGCATTTGAGCTGTTTTTTTAGAAGTGTTTAGTTGTTGACTCTTATATTTTTAGTTTCTTGTATTTTGTGTTTGACGCTGCAATTTTTGCAATATTTTAGTAGCTGTTTTTTCTGCTTTTAGCGGTTGTTGTTTTGTGTTTGGAACTGTAGTGTTTACAGTTTTTGGTTACTATTTTTTGCTTTTAGGTGAGAAATTTTTGTGTTTAAAGTTATTCTACTGAATTTATCTACTACTTTTCAATTTTTAGTTGCTCATCTTGTGAGTTTTAAGCTGTTGTTTCTGCAGATTTTGTTGCTATTTTTTTTAGTTTCAGGTGCTTATTTTTTATTGTTAGTTGTTGTTTCTGCATATTAGTTACTGTTTTTTGGTGCTTTAAACTGTTATTTTTGCAGTTTTTGGCTACTATTTTTCTGCTTTTAGGTGCCGAATATTTTTTTGTTTTAAGTTGTTGTTTCTACTTTGTTTTATCTATTGGCTTTTCAATTTTTTAGTTGCCGATTTTGTGCGTTATGAGCTGTTTTCCTGCAGATTTTTTGTTGTTGTTTTTTTAGTTTGAGGTATTTACTTTTTATGGCTAAGATGTAGTATCTACAAGTTATCAGTTGTTATTTTTGACTGAAGTTTTTAAAAATTCTTATGAAAGTTATTGATTCATGCTAAATGATTTGAAATATTGAATTGCCAGCATGCCAAAGTTCTAGCGTTTACAGAAAAAATAAAACTTAGATCAATTAGTATCTGATTCTCAAGGTGCGGAATCAACACATTCATTTCTCCAATCAACATCATTTACGCCATCAGACACGACCATACCATTTATGGCCACAACACATTCAATCCATTATTTTAGCCGACATTGCAGACGCCTCAAATATTTCATCCTAGATCACAGTCATCTCAATCAGTTCACTAGGCATCACATTCAGCTAAGATGGATCAACTTATGTCACAACTGGCTCCGACAACTTTCCTACATCACAACCAGCTCATTTAGTTCATTCGACATCACATTCACCTTCAATAGAACAAGATTCGTCACAACAAGTTCCAATAGTTCAAGCTGTTGGGTTTTATTTTGCCCTGATTTCTTACCATAATTAGCTTTTTCTTTTAGGAAAAAGTTTTTGATTGACTAATCCTTTTTCTGGTAGGAAAAGGTTTAGGACTCTATAAATAAAGACATGTTCCTTCTAACTTAATCAACATTCACAATGTAGTCTTAAGAGCTTTGAGAGTTTGGTTAGGGGGAGAATTAATGGGTCACAAGTTGGATACGTTATCACTTGTGTGAACCTCCCATGTATTCTGAGTGAATCGGTTGAGGTTGTTTCTTTCTGTATTTTGTACCCTCATATTTATAGTGGATTGCTCATCTCTTTTGTGGACGTAGGTCGATTGATCGAACCACGTTAAATCTTTGTGTCTTTTGGTATATTTCTCGTTGTCTTCTTACTCATGGTCTTTTGAGGTTTGCTTTGATAGCTTCCGCATTTACACCTGCTTATTTTCGGTCCTAACAAGTGGTATCAGAGCCAGATTCAATGATGGAATCAGGTTTAGTGGTTCGATAATCGATGGTTGAACCAAGTTAGAAAGAGGTGTTCATCTTGAAGGGTGTAGTTCTAGCCGCAATCTTTTTTGACAGTAATGAAAATTTTGTTGGAGAAATTGTTTCAGAGAGGTTCTCTCTGTTGAGGCATAAATTTTTCAAAGGAGATTTTGGAGAGGAGAATCAAGTTGTTGAAGATTAAGTAAAGAAAGTTGACAAATTTATTTTGTCAGAAATTCAGGCCAAGGGGGAGATTTGTTGGGTTTTATTTTGCCTTGATTTCTTACCATGAATAGGTTTTCTTTCAGGGAAAGGTTTTGGATTGACTAATCCTTTTTCTGGTAGGAAAAGGTTTAGGACTCTATAAATAGAGACATGTTCCTTCTAAGTTAATCAACTTTTACAATGTAGTCTTAAGAGCTTTGAGAGTTTGGTTAGGGGGAGAATTTATGGGTCACAAGTTGGATCCGTTATCACTTGTGTGAACCTCCCATGTATTTCGAGTGAATTGGTTGAGGTTATTTCTCTCTGTATTTTGTACCCTCATATTTATAGTGAATTGCTCATCTCCTTTGTGGACGTAGGTCGATTGATCGAACCACGTTAAATCTTTGTGTCTTTTGGTATATTTCTCGTTGCCTTCTTACTCGTGGTATTTCGAGGTTTGCTTTGCTAGCTTCCGCATTTACACCTGCTTATTTTTAGTCATAACACAAGCTCCATTCAAAAAGTGTATTGGGCGCGAATCACAGTAATATTGGACTGTAGAAGCAATATGTTAAGGATTGTGAGTATAAGTGAATATTCAATAACCATTATTTGTTTCTCTCATAGATTCAACTTATATTTGTTTTTATTATAGATTCAGAAAATAATGTCAAAAAGCTCAAAATAAAAAAAACGGATGTGCTTAATTTATCAAGTGATGAACTTATTGTGGTTAATTTTGATTACTTGAATGAACAATTTGGAGAGGTCGTAGCCTTCTTTCAGGCTTTTGTGGAATTTTAGCATGTGATTGCTCTTTCTTTCCAATCAACTTTGAGAAATGGTCGAGTGTGCCTATGACATACTTAAATCATGTTTTCAATCAAATTATAAAGGTATAAGCTTCAACTAGACTCTTACTCTATTTTACTTTTTGGTGAGAAATATAATTGGTAATTTCAATATTATATTTACAAGCCATAGATAAGCTGATAAATATTTTTTTTCTTTAAGCTCAGGTTCTCCTTTAAGACAACAAAGTCAAATGCACGGAAACATATTTATAAATATATTGGAAAGAAGTGGGCTGCAGATAAGAACAACCTGTGGAAGTTAGTCGAAGACCCACTTAAAAGCAAAGTTGAGATTATTGATAATCTGCCCGATGGAATTCCACGAGATCAGTGGATTTCTTTTGTTGATTACCAATATAAAGATTCAACAAAGGTACTTATGTTGCTTATTTTCACTAGTCTTTATTATCATGTAACTATTTGATTTTCTTAATAAGTTTCATTTATTTTTTATAAGGAAATGCGTAGAAGAAATACTTAAAATAAAATGAAAAAAATTCCACACATAGGTGGCTCCAAAGTGAATGCTACGAGAATGGAGGAAATAGTGATTAGTAAATTAACTTATTATGTATTCATTTTTGAGTAGTAAATTATTGTAACTTGAATTTTTTTATTTTTATATGGCTGAAACGGGATAAAGACCTGGACGACCACAAATATAAATTGCAACTCATAAAAATAAAGATGGAGTGTAAATTAATGAAGCTGCACAAGAAATCTGTGTAAGTTTTCTCATGAATTCTAATTGTATTTCAACAAGAAAAAAAAAGATAGGGCAATAGTTGTGAACTAGTTGATTAATTGATGGAGGATATATACACTCAATTCTTTACGATTTAATTGTATTATGATGGCTTGTGGTCCTATACCTCTAACTTCTCATCTTCTTATGTATACATATAAGTAGTTTTTATCTTTCTGTCTTTAGTAAGGTTATTCCAGTGTTACTGCTTGTTTATTTGCGGCATTGATTTTTTATATAGGAAAAATTGAGCTAACTTGAGCGAAAGTTCCATGGATGATTCTCAAATTTTGCCAAATGATTTTTTTGGTAAGGTTTTCGGAAAAGATCACTCTCTAAGGGTAAGATGTTTGGGATTAGGAGTTGTCCCCAGTAAAAATTTTAAACAAGTAAGACCGAGTTTTGGTGATGCGTGATGCAAATGCTTCAAGTAGTGAAGGATCATGTTCGTCCCAATGCCAAGAGAACCACAATCAAATGATGAACGCTCATAATCAAATGATGAATGCTTTTAAGGCGTACATATAATGAAAGAAGGGATGATACCAGAACAATTTGCAGGGTTCTTTGATTCTCCTTCGATAAATTCTTCTACAATAATTGTAAATAATGTTCTTACATTCCTATTTTCATTTGATATGTATATTGCTTCCCCTTTTTTAATGCAATTTTTATTGACATATATCAACTAATGATAAGCATAGTTTGAAACATAATATTTGTCAAGGATTTTACATATTTTCATATGACTTAATTAATTATATTTTTTATTTTTTATGCAGCCAAGTGATGCTGCTAGTGAACCAATTCCGGCTACGCACACAAGAAGATCATGCCATAGTGATAGTATTCCTAGCCATCAAACCATTGATTACATTGTAGTCAACCAATTCCACCTATATTATTAGCTAATTAATTTGATGACAAGATTGTGTGATTGGAAAGATGTTAAAATGTTGGATTAGATATTTTGTGTTCAGGTTTTTTTTTGTTTTGATGAAGATATTTGATGTTAACAATATCATTTTAGTGACAAATGACAATGCAATATTTTTTGTGAATTTATGATATGTCGTTCAAGAATATATATTTCTTGACCTTGAGAAATTTTTTGGATTTGATTGTGATTTATAGCTTAATTACTGATTCGATAAATTATATATAAATAAAAGTATATCAAATGAATTTTAGAGCTTATACGATTGCCCAGATCATTCAACAGAAGCAATTGCAAAATTTGTGGAGGTTTTGAACCCCCTCTATTTCTAACTGAAAAATAATATTTTAAAAAATAATTTTAAATAAGCGTGAGTCGACGTCCACAAAGCAACCCCCGCTAATTGATTGTGGGGGTCAAAGAAAAACTGCAGCAAATTGCTTGCGACAACTCTTATTAAGATTTTTTTTACAACTGCCGCAATACTGTATTGAGGGGGTTTTAAACACCCACAAACCTTAAAATTAACCCCTCTATTTAAGGTTTTTTTGTAGTGTCCTAGAGGTCAAGTACGCCGGTTGCAATCCGAGATTGCCCCTAACTTCTAAGGTGTTGTTTTGGGATGTGACATGGTGTCCGATTCACACCTGCTGGCCTAACAATGTTCAACAACAAAATAATCGACTATAAGCACTGTAAAATTTGATAAAAGACTGCATTAGATACAAAAACGAGCATCCGTGTGCTTATAAAACTGAAGGAAATCGAAAGGTAAAAACAAGATTGTTCTAAAATTTACAAGAAAAAGAAGTAAAATATCAATCCAATCAGGCACCCTGTGTTTGGAAAGTGCCTATCTAGGAATCTAACTCCTCTAGGGAATAGGAACCAGTCCGGTAACGACCTACCTCAGCTCCTGAAACTGAACGTAATCATTAGGCTCCGCTATGGCAAACTCCTTCTCAAGAGCGACGCATGTGAAAATATTCTTCACTACCTTCCAGAGCCGAATCATCATGTGATACCTTGCTAAGTTCTTCTTTCTCTTATGGCGCACTTTATGACAAAGCATCTTGACCTCTAGGGTAGTGCTGGGTGGGACCGGAGTAAAGTCGGCATATGCACTCCCAATTTTCTTTTGGACCATCTCCAGATCCACTTCGTCCCATGCACTTGAGAGTGGTTCCTCGCCATCTGAACTCGCGTTCGCGATGCTGCTGCTTGTCCCACCATCCTCCTTTTCTTGCTCCTAGAATTAGAATAGACATGACCAAAAGAGGGTGAAGAGGGGATGCATATAAAGTACCTTATCAGCGTCGAATAATGGTATTCCCGATCTCTTACATAGGGCAGTGATAAGACCAGGAAGGAAGTACATCTTCTTGTTGGTTCGGTAGATTATCTTCCCCTCGGAGACAATCCGTGCCCCCATATTCAGCTGGATTCCCCGTATGGCGCACACCACCACCAAGGCCCAAGGGAAGGTTTCATTGGTGCAGTTGTCTAATAGAATGATCCTCCCTATAACCTAGTGGATCCACCTCGGAGCTTCAGGTGACCAATAAGTACTAGAGATGCCCTCCACAATAGCCCAGTAGACCTTCTCCCTGCGTCTAGGCTCCATCAAGGTATCAGTTAGCCACTCCAGGTCCATCTAAAGCACCCTAGTCTCAAGATCATGGTTTGGGACATATGGTACCTCCAGGACGTCGTTAATAGCCGCAACATTCAAGGGGATGTCAAATACACACATCCGGATGTAAGGGTAAGGGTCATCCCAGCGGATAGTAAAAAGGATGGAATAAAACGTACTCACCAAAATGAAGCGTGTATCGGGGAAGCCGTAGTCAGTGGAACCCACCCAAACTCTACAAGACTAGCATAGAAAGAAGGTTCCTTCTCCTCCAGTCACCGTAGAAAAAAACCTTTCTCAAAATAGAACCTTGTCTTGCAATAATCATGGTGCATCGCCCTACTTGCGACATAGGGAAAACAAATGTAGGATGTAGTATCTCTGTCTTGACCTTCCATTTAGATAGCCTGCAATAAATTAAATATAATTTAGAATAATATATGATAGTTGATACACTCAAACTTACTTCTCAAATAATAAGTAAAGCGGTCGTATCATGTAAAGAACCCAAATAATGAGGTTGGGATCGTTCCCACGAGGAAAATAGTTTAGACTTAACTTTATTATATTATTACTATTATTTAGTCAATTATTTACCAAGAAAACAAAAGACAATAAGGGGGGGGGGGGTATTTCTAAATTACTTAAAATAATTAACTAAATCAAAAGTAAACAACGAACAAATTCAAATCTTGGAACTTAATCAATTAATAATAGTAACTAGGTCTTAAGTGTACCCCACAACCCTAGTTATGGAGTTTAGTTACCCCATAATCATAATCACACTATTCATATATTTAATATAAGAATTCATGCACTTACTTTAATGAGAAAAAATAAAATCCAAAAATAAATTGATTAATCAACAAAAGCACCAACAATCAATTCCAGAAAAAGTGTAACAATTGCTGAAATTAATCCTTCAATATTTGAACAAGAGAACTAAAGATTATCGAAAAGTATAAATATCAAAAAGTCAAACATCCAAAAGTCTAACATCAAAAAGTCTAACCCCAAAAACGAGGTTTTTCAAACTATTTATAATAAAAACAAAAACCTAATAAAAGAAGGATTCTAATTATTGAAAATATGTCAAAACACGTCTGGGTTGACGGATGTCGTGACGGTCTGTCGTGGTCACGACAGGCCGTCATGGCATTCCTCGTCCCATACTTCACAAATTCTTCTGCTGCTTTCTTCATTATCCTCGACGGACAGGTATGACAGTCTGTTCCAAGAACAACGGTCCGTCGAGGGTCTCCGTTCCATAATATTTTCACTTCTTGGAATTTGGGTACTGGGACTACTCTCTGATCATTACGACGAACTAGCAGGACAGACCGTCATGGCTATGACGGTCCGTCATGGATTTCCGTAATCCCACACTAGGTCAGACTTCCCCATCTTCCTTCACCAGATTGACTACGATGCCACCTACGGACCGTCACAAGCTCGACGGACCGTCATAAGCTCCGTAGGTGGTCTCTTCTGCATTTCTCGCTCAAAAACTTCCGCGTTCATCTTTGGACAAATTGCTTGCAAATAAGGAGAAACTTACATAAAAATCAATACAAAAGGGCTTTTGGACACACGCTAAACTTAAGGACAAAGCATTAAAAATACCATTAAACCACGACACATTAACACCCTCAACTTAAATTCGTTGTTTGCCCTAAAGAGACGCACCATGACTCACTACAAAATCTTTGTACAATAGTATCTACATTTTAGCTTTCGCAATCATTTTGCTATCAATCCCGATTTGTATCATCATGTTTATGCATGTTATCATTATTAGGCTTTAATTATGTGGAACCAGACCATGACACAGACTCACCAGGCACTGACACCTATCCTCTTCAATTTCTCACCGAGGTGCTAATATTTCCGATATTGCAACTTGTGTCCTCACTTCAAAACAACATCCTCATTTTTCACACAATGATTTCAGTTTGAGTATAACGATTACTTTTCAACACTCACTCTCAGAACAAATTCACAACTCATTCATACATATTGCCATAATCTTGCCCTTATTTTCACTGCTTTATGTTCTCCATACAACTCTTAGGATCACGATAGGACTTTCTTAGATTGTAACATAGGCTCAGAGTCAGTGAGGGTATATTTAGGTATACTTTACTTACTTTTTGCCCTCCTTGACATATCGGCGAAATGTATCACTTTTTATCATTTTATTTCGCCTAATTTCTCATATTCTTTCACCTTGCTATTTTACCTTCTTTCGTCATTTGTAAAAGTAGGCAACTTAATTGACCTACCGGACTCTAAAGAAAGGGTACCACTTATTTGGAAACTCAAAACTTGCCGGTTTCCAAGCGAAACTCGATGCTACTTTAACACAAGGCTCACTACAAAATCTTTGTACAATAGTATCTATATTTTAGCTTTCGCAATCATTTGTCTATCAATCCCGATTTGTATAATCATGTTTATGCATGTTATCATTATTAGGCTTTAATTATGTGGAACCAGACCATGACACAGACTCACCAGGCACTGACACCTATCTTCTTCAATTTCTCACCGAGGTGCTAATATTTCCGGTATTGCAACTAGTGTCCTCACTTCAAAACAACATCCTCATTTTTCACACAATGATTTCAGTTTGAGTATAACGATTACTTTTCAACACTCACTCTCAGAACAAATTCACAACTCATTCATACATATTGCCATAATCTTGCCCTTATTTTCACTGCTTTAAGTTCTCCATACAACTCTTAGGATCACGATAGGACTTTCTTAGATTGTAACATAGGCTCAGAGTCAGTGAGGGTATATTTAGGTATACTTTACTTACTTTTTGCCCTCCTTGACATATCAGCAAAATGTATCACTTCTTATCATTTTATTTCGCCCAATTTCTCATATTCTTTCACCTTGCTATTTTACCTTCTTTCGTCATTTGTAAAAGTGACTCTTTTCTTTTATTTCTTGTATTTATGAAATTATTTTTCTTATTTCACTTTTCTTCAACTGGTTCTTGAGTCATTTTACTTTTTTTCTTTCTCTCTCTTTGTTCTTTCAACCCCACTTTCCAGAGCATTCCTCATAATAGCCACCCTCAACTCATGGATTTGCCATGAGTCAAAGTACACAATACCCAAAGTTGGGTCAGGGACACAAAAAAGGTTGTTTACTGCATTATCCACCCTCAACTTATGCTTTTGGCATAAGCTGAGGTGCACATGTCTAAGGAGGGACGAGGGCCGACACATTATTTCCAGAAAAGCTCAGTTGGGGTGAGAAAGAAAGGTCTATTTTAAGCTCAAATCATTTGGATTAAAGAGGGATTAATTTCATTCGTTTTTTTTATATTTTATTTAGGCTAAAAATTGGCTACATTGATAAAGGGTCTATGATCCTTTCCTAATTGCCTATTACAACTTACTTTTAGCAGGACTAACCAGGCAAGTTCTAGCTCCGTATAAATAGTTGACTATTCAAATATTCCTCACACTCACTTGACAACTCATTACTCTATCAAATTATCAGATACCTAGTTTGAGTCTTAGACTTAGGGTCATGCAGTGGTGTATATCTATGTCATGCTTAGAGCCACACATTTATCAATTACAGTGCCTAGCCATGCATCATTTTCATTACATCGAGATATCATTTTTGTTTTATCCATCATGCTTCAGAGTTATACTATGTACACAAGATATAGGCATGGCGGTTCAACAATAAAAGAAACTAGCCTTTTGGGGAAAAAGAACACAGGCAAGAAAACCCCAAAAGAGGATCGTGAATTGGGCTACTCAGACTTCACCCTAGCACTCACTTTCCATTTACCCACCCAAAAAAAATATATGCAATTGTCCCAAATGCATACAAAAATTGAACTACGATAATGGTAGGTGAAGCAAACCTGGGGCGCAAAGCACCGACGATCAGCAAGCTTGTGGGTCTGGTTCCCCGGAACCCACTACCTATGTAGTCTAGACACCCTCAATAGTGTTCTCATCAGCAACAACACTATTAGTAGTGCCTCCCGCTGTGTACACATCTCTGGAGCTAGAATCCCCCGCAGCTGACTTTACAACCCTTATCTGACGTGCATTCTCATCTGCAATCGAGGCTCTACTCGTAGCCTCCATGTGACGGCGCTCCTTCTTCCTTTCTCTAGCCTCATCCTCCTCTCGACCCCTACGCCTCTTGTCATTATCTCAAGGGAGAGGTGGTGGAATCTAAAAAATGGAGCATAAAACCGTCAACACTGTGTCCTCAGCAGGCTGTGTAGAAGGGGCCTCGAACTCAGGCACCCTAGCCTCTAGGATCATTTAAATATCTGCTCGCAGACTCTAAACCGC